TTCGTAGACAGATGAAGAACATGCTGCTCAACCCGATAAGATCGTGTACTTCAGCGGATTGAATGCCATTGTGGAAAGCCGTTGGACAAAAAATTTTACGTGAGAGGCGTGATGGTTCTTTTTCGAAGCTAACTTGATTGATCGATCCCATGAACTTACCTAGCCTCCCGATTTCGAAACCTTCGGCACATGCATCCAATTGCTTTTGATCTTTCAAACTGCTGTTTCAACTCGCTGTCGTAGCCGCCTCTATCTAGTAATTCGTTTGTTCCGATGTAAGGTTACTTGTAAACTATTTCAATCGATGTAAAGTAGTTGAGTCCATGTAAAATTGCGACATACATACGTCGCATAACACTCGTACTATAACGAATAACATATATTTTTTATTTTTTTAAGTTTGTTTTTGTAAATTTTCAATTCTGCGACATGCGAAATTGCGACATACAAACGTCGCATATTAGTTCCCCAGTTGGTAAATAATTAATTTTATAAAATTTAATTTCTGGAAAGTTTTTGGTCTGTGACTAAATTACTAATAGGCGAATTAACACGCGATTATTACTCGAAACAATTCCGCATAAAAACCGCGAATAACATATATTTTTTTAAGTTTGTTTTTGTAAATTTTCAATTCTGCGACATGCGAAATTGCGACATACAAACATCGCATATTAGTCCCCCAGTTGGTAAATAATTAATTTTATAAAATTTAATTTCTGTAAAGTTTTTGGTCTGTGACTAAATTACTAATAGGCGAATGAACATGCGATTATTACTCGAAACAATTCCGCATAAAAACCGCGCATAACACTCGTACTATAACGAATAACATATATTTTTTTAAATTTATTTTTGTAAATTTTCAATTCTGCGACATGCGAAATTGCGACATACAAACGTCGCTTATTAGTCCCCCAGTTGGTAAATAATTAATTTTATAAAATTTAATTTTTGGAAAGTTTTTGGTCTGTGACTTAATTAAGTTTGTTTTCGTACATTTTCTATTCTGCGACGTACAAAATTGCGATATACAAACGTCGCATATTATTCGCAGAGTTGGTAAATTGTAATTTTTGGAAAATTCTTGTTCTTTGACTGAATTGAAAATAACTATTATGTGAAAAAAAGCAGTCAACCAATGCGGTGCGTAACACTATTCTAAATGTGTTCGCATATTGATACATTCTGCGAGGTTTATATGGATATGTGATTCGTAAATATGCGAAAACAATATGCATAATTGATAGTTATCTAGGCTTATAGATTTGGATATGCGAATCGTAAATTATTTTCGTTACTCATAAATAATGCAGCGTTCGATTTGGATATGCGATAATCTAATTACGCGACAGTTTTTCACATATTCTAAATGATGCGGTTGATCTGGCCTGGATATGCGATTAAAAAATGCGATTTATCGCACTTGTGTTTTCGCATTGTGTACTAATTACTTGTACTTATTTTTTTCATTACGTTATGCGCACACAATGCGATTTATCGCACTTGTGTTTTCGCATTGTGTACTAATTACTTGTACTTATTTTTTTCGCATTGTGTTTTCTAGTTACTTGCTTATTTTTTTCATTACGTTATGCGAACACAATGCGATTTATCACACTTGTGTTTTCGCATTGTGTACTAATTACTTGTACTTATTTTTTTCGCATTGTGTTTTCTAATTACTTGCTTATTTTTTTCATTACGTTATGCGAACACAATGCGATTTATCGCACTTGTGTTTTCGCATTGTGTACTAATTACTTGTACTTATTTTTTTCGCATTGTGTTTTCTAATTACTTGCTTATTTTTTTCATTACGTTATGCGAACACAATGCGAATTATCGCACTTGTGTTTTCGCATTGTGTACTAATTACTTGTACTTATTTTTTTCGCATTGTGTTTTTTAATTACTTGTACTTATTTTTTTCATTACGTTATGCGAACACAATGCGATTTATCGCACTTTGTTCACAGTTCTGCGAAATTTCTTTCAATAATAATTTCCCTTCGAATATTGTCGTTGATTTTGCTGGGAACACAATGCGATTTATCGCACTTTATTTTTTTTAACATATGAATCATGATTAAACACATATACTTGACAGAAGAAAAAAAAACATTTATTATTGCAGCAGTCAGTCCAACAAAATAAGCCAAACAACTTTTGATTACATGTCCAGTGGATTCTAAGGGTCGAGATCGATGACTTCCACCTTTGGTGGTGGCTGATGGATCTGATCATCACCGTCATCGTCTATGTCTTCTCCCCAGATTGGATCGTCAACCGAAGCACCAGGCCCGCCCTCCAAGTCGATAGCCGCTGCGTTGCGCTCGATAAAAACCTCGTAACACTCACTATACCAAGGGAATCCTTCCGAACGGAAAAATGCCGGAGCGTCGGTCTCCTGTGTAATAAATTTGAATCTTTTTAGGTTATTATGGCCGCGTCGCAAAAATGCATGCTTGAACAAACTAAAATAAAAAATCAAATGAAATTTACCTCATCCCGCACATGCACCCAGTACATGTGGTTAACCTCTACAAAGCCTGAACCAGGACGCAAGAGGACACATGGAATCCTTAGAAAAGCAGAAAATTCATCGAAATAATTTCTGAGCCGCTGAATCTTTCGCCGGACTTGGGCAATAGTATACTCCCTCTTCAATGCATAACTCAGCACTTGGTTCATTAATTTTGAAATTTCTGCCCACAAGGAATTGAACATAGGGCCTTGGTGTATGTCTGCCTTCTCACGGCACTTTTTGAAAAACAATCGGTAGAAAATATCTTCCTCTTCCTCTGTCCAGTCCACGCCACGGAAGCGGATGGAGATCTTTTCATAGGGTGAAATCGTTTTCATTTTTTTTTTTTTCGCAAACGTGCGCCTCCTTGGTTTTTGTTTTTTTTGGCTGCGATCGAAAGCTAGGGTTTTGAGAAGTGAAAGGTTAATTATTCAACAAAGAGAATGAAAGGTTAATATTTAGAGATAGCATTTAAAGCTAGGTAGATATACATCAACTCGACAACTATATGAGGAATCATGCAAATCGTCACAGTTTTTTATGTGTAAGAGCAGGCAATCAATCAATGCGGTGCGTAACTTATGCGAAGAACTTTTGATTTGGATATGCGGTGCAGACAATCAATCAATGAAGACTAGGCGAATGAACCTGCGAATCAACCGAGTTGTGCGATTATATGGAACATGATATGGGAATCGCACAATCAACCCAATTGTGCGATTATTATGGGACATGTTATGCGGATCGCGCAATCAACCCAGTTTCACTACTTTCTGTTAGTCAATCGTGTGTGTGCAGGTCACAACTTAGGGTACCAAGTACCAACACAATATTTTTCCCGTTAAAAGTATTTTTTCCGTTAAATTGCTTTACCAATTAAAAACTCCAATGAGGTACATAACATTACATAACGTCTCCATCTTCATCTAAATTGTCATGGATTGGACGTGTGGACAAGATGACGATTTGTGACCTGTTTCTTTACAAGTACGACTCTCCTCGGGCGTCTCGATGTTGTTCTTGCCCTGTTATGCCCGGTGACCCCGCACCGAGAGCACATCTGCTGACACCGTGATCGTGATGATCCTTCATCAGCGCCCCGAGGATATCCAGTATGTGTAAATGAACTAGGGGCTGCTTGATATGAATATGGGGCCTCGTGGGAAAATGCAGAACTACCAACACCAAAAGAACTAGGAAACACACCTTGGGACGCCATCATTTGCGTGAAGCTTTGTTGCGCCGTCCCCGGAATCCCTACATTTACTCGCTTCTCCAACTCCAGGTAAATGTTGGGATTTCCTTGCTCTTCAATCAGCTCTAAGATATCTTCACTGGATTCGATTTTCATCTTCACAGGTCGTTCCCTTCCATCAAATATGGCCCACAATATGTACTCAAAATAGAGAGGATTGGCCTTTAATAATGCTTGAGCACGAGAAACTACTTCAGAATACATTTGTCGGCCGTAATTTATTCTCATCAGCTCTGCCACTCCACCAAGATATGAACCCCCGGAAAACGAACCACCATAGTGCAGGAATACTTTAACACGGTTGCTAGCCATTCAAATAAGTGAACAACAAAAAGAATTAAAACGAAAGAAACAAAAAAATGCAGTAGATGAATGGCGCAGAGTGTAGACGTTAAATTGTTAGAGATCACTGTTTTTTTGCCTGCATGATAAATGCAGAGACAAAATCCTCACCTGTGAAAAAGCAGTCAATTTAATGAGGTGCGTAACTTATGCGATAGATATGCGAACAAATTCCGAATAGTCCTAAAATTGCAAGGTCGATATGGCCCTGCGAAAAAATGGCGCATAATCGTCAAATAAATTACTATGCTTTATTCGATTTGGTTATGCGATTCTTAAATAAGCGAGCGAAAAAATGTCGCATATTTGTCAATTATCCGGCGTTATACTGGATATATGCGAAAGTTTTTCGCATATTAGTAAATTATGCGATTGACTTGGATATGCAATTACTAAAAAATGCGAAGTCAACAAATTATGCGAATTACATGCGAAAAAGTTTCGCATAGTCATAAATTTACAAGGTCGTATAGCCCTGCGAAAAGACGGAAGGCGCATAATCATCGTAAATTATGCTGCATTCGATTTGGATATGCGATTCTTAAAAATACGAAATTTTTTTGCATATTTGTAATTATGCGTTTAATTTGGATATGCGATCCCTAAACATGCGAAATGGTTTCGCATAGTCATACATTATGCGTCTGGTTGGATATGCGCAGGTTCATTTAGACATGCGAGTGTAATATCGCATAGCATTTCGTGGCTTTTGGGGTGTAAAAGAAGTTATTTGACGGGCTGGTGTGTAAAAGAAAGAATAGAAATATAACGGGGTGAAAAAGATTTTGCCCCAATATTTTAATATATGAGGGGTACGTGAACAAGCCACAAATGCCATTTTAGATATAAATAACTAGTACAACACCCATGTATTACCTAGGTGGGGATGGTGCCTCGTCCAGGAACGTTCATGGACCGATTTATAAAAGTGGGATCGGTATCCGGACAAGTCAAATCCAAGAACGTCTCGGACCGCGCCCACCCCTATCATAAATAATCAACATATTTATAGATAATCCGAACCTAACTATTTTTGGATTAGAAGTAAATTAAATTTACCCAAGTCTAATAACGAAGCATGTAATTTTTCCCAATAGGATTCCAAAGCATGCGAACATGTCACATAAGCTCGCCACGTTTTGAATTAATATATAGGGGGATAATATAATTTTAATAAGAACAGTTATTTATCATTTGTTGCATTTGTGTCAGACCAGGCACCAAATCACAATGCATCCTGTGTATTTGATCATGCGTCCTCTGTATTTGACCTTGCAGTATTTGATCTTGCAGTGACGGCCTACTCTCTTCATACCTCTCTTGCATCTTCTTAAGTTTAAGCTCTTGCATCTGTGTATTTATCTAGTTAGTCTTGAGTCGTCATTATATATATATACTTATGAAATCTAAAAGTAGCAGGATTTTGCGAAGAATTTACAAGTTAATTGATGAATACCAAGAAAATTATAGACTATATAGCTGAACGTGTCAGCTTGAATTCTCATATTCAAAATTAGTACCAAGAAAATCTTAAATCTCTCTATTTTGTTTCATCTAAAAACCAGATGGCTTTGGAAGAGAATGAGGAACAAATAAATATATGATAGTGAACAAGCCTTACCTCAGATCTTTCGTCTGAAAATTGTTGACTGTATTTGTTGTTGTCCGTAAGCAGAAGTTGAAGGTCTTCATTCCCGAGATCCCTTTGTTCCTGTTCTATTTCCTTAACAGAATCCAAAACCGAGTTGCTACAATTAGACACTTGAATCAACTTAAGGGTGAATATATCTCCAATCTCCCGAGGGATATCCACCAACAAGGATAATGTATCAAGAACAAGTTTCTCAAGGCATGGAAAGTGTGTGCTGTCTGCTATCCAATGTATCAGATCATCACATCCAACATGTAAGAATTTGAGCTTCTGGAACTGACCGCCAACTGTTTCCCACTGAGGTCCCAAATGGCAATGTATAAGTTTGAGCACTTGCAGATGTGGCAACGACCCTATCTTTATTCCCATCTCTTCCCAATCAGATTCAATGCACCACAAACTCAACTTCCTGAGTGAATGCGGTAAGTTAAGGCTCCAACCCAATTCACTCGGTCTTATATAGCATAGAGAATCAATCGACATGACTTTCTTGTTTAAATGAGCAGTAAAGAGGACAACAAGGGATTCAAGTTTATGTAGGTGGCAGAGATTGTCGAGATAGCAATATCTTACAATTCCCAAGTATTGTAATCCAAGTTTCTTGACATTGGGGATTCTCTGAACCAGCTCTTTACTACACGTGAAATTCCGTACTCCCTTGAGCGTCGTTAGGTTGTCCAAAACCACTAACAAATTAGTCAAGTCTATATCCGCGAGTTCCAGACCTTGACACATGGCATGCCTAAGTTGAGGCATCTTCCAAATGTCAATTACTGCATGTCTCTCTGGAAGACTCCAGAGATGAACAATTGAAGGGGCTAATGCAAGCTTCTCGCAGCCAAATTCAAGAAGCCACAAGTTGGCCGGAATTGTTCTCATGGAATCATCCCTTTCGGGGATTAAATGGGCTGAATACACCACCCTTAGGACCCTCACTGATTTGAAATTAAGGCGTTGCAACTCGATTGCCCCTTTTCTTAAATCGCATGTCAAAGAACGGAGTGAAGAAGATATACAGGGGCGGATATAGTGATCGCCAAAAACGCTCGAATGGAAAACCGTGCGACGTTTGATTTTGAAAGGGGAGTAGACCTCTCTCTCAGCTTCTTCTATTATGCACAGAAAATTGTTTTTCCGAGCCTCTTTTACGCACAAGTCCCTCAAAAGGTCGTGGATTCCGCAATATTTTATATTCCCCGTGGAACCCAATTGTTCCACTAAGACCAGGTTTCTATCCACAAGCTCTTTCAAGTATTCTTCAGCAATAAATTCCAATGATTTACCACCACACATTGGTTTGACAAATCCTTCCGCAACCCACAGTCTGATGAGTGTTGATTTAAGAATCACCCGGTCACCCCGAAATGCACCCATGTAAAGAAAACAAGGCTTCAGATGTATGGGCAATTCCTTGTAGCTCAGCCCAAGTATTTTAGAACAACGCTTGTCGTCTTCAGAATTCAAGACATCATTGAAGTTTTCCAACACATCTTCCCAAAACATGGGAGATTGTTTGTGCTTTGACAACAACCCTCCGATCACCTTTATTGATAGAGGAAGTCCTCTGCAAGATTTTGTAATTCTCTTTCCCGTTTCCTCCAATATAGAAGGACGGCCTTTGTTCCCGAACACAATTCCGCTTAACAGCTTCCAACTGTTGTCGTCGTCCAAGAATTTCATTTTAACGACATCTAAACTATTGTCGGCCATGGAAAGAGCCACACGAGTTAGCCTGGTTGTTACTACTATTCGACTTCCATTGCGATATTCGGGAAAGAAGAACTCCACACTGTCCCACTCCTCAACACCCCACAAATCATCAATTACTGCTAAGTACCTCCTACCCGATAAGCTTTTGAACAGTAACTCTCCTAGCTCGTATTCACTCTTTTCACTTAGCAGATGCTCCTTGCTCGACATTTGTTTAAGACAGAGAAGACACTGGACAAGGATTTCTTGCCTGCTACACTTTCGAGAAATCGTAAACCAAATGCGAATATCGAAATATTGCATAACAAGTGGATCTTCGTAAATACCTCTTGCAAGTGCAGTCTTACCAGAGCCTCCCATCCCGACAATCGGGATGACCTGACGATTGAGTCCCCTTCCGGAGGAGTTCGTGAGCTTGTCCTTGAGTTCGACTAAAAGATCACCAAAACCCACCAAGATGTTTGTGTGAGGAAGAGATCTCGATGAACTGCCATCATAAGTAGTATCATATTTGTCCACCTCATCATCACCATTTTGCATAACTCTTGTCATCATCATCATCATCATCTCCTTGGCATCTTTCGCGATTGAATCCATGTCTTCCGCCACTCTTTCTTCGGGAGTCGCTGAATTATAAAGCCATCCAAAGATACTACTTATCATGAAACAACAACATGTCATTCCTCGATCGAAAATATGGGATTCTATCATGTCCTCTGCCTCGTGAGCTGCATCAGCAATACGTCCCTCCCAATATGCTTCTTGGCTGCCAGAAAACGAATAGTTTTCCAGAAGGTGTAGCAACAAAGTGGTGCTTTCGGAGATGGATTTAATTTGTGTTTCGTCGAGGGACGTCGAATGGTTTTGGAGCTGATCAATAGTATGCGAGAGAGAAAGAAGAGCTGCATAAGCTGCAGCCATTTGCTGTTTTTCTACTGCCAAAATCTGGCCAAGAAGAACTGAAAGATGTTGAGTTCAGCTGTATGCTATGGCTAACTCATCCTTTGGCTTCCATTATACAGGGGCTTTTATGGCCATGGGACCCTTAATTAAACATACTGTTGGCTGACATTACTTTTATCGCCATGGGGTCGTTTTAATGAGTCATGCATCCATACTCGAGCGAAAGTCTTTGGGTTCAAACATGGCATATTTATTGTTTTAGTGAGATGTCATTTTTTAAAGTGAATTTTCGAGATTTTTCTCCAATTGATTAATCTCTATCTCTATTTCACCTATAAGTTAATTTAAATTGTACAATTACGATGGTAACTTCAGCTTTTCCATTGTCTATTAGTATGAATCCCGTGCGATGCACCGATAAGAGATATTCATTAATATTTTTAAATTAAAAATTATCATCAAATAATATTTATAAATTAAAAAATTGAATCAATATGTAATACAATTTACCTATATTAATTTATTTAAAATGTTATATGAAATTTAAATTGTGTAAAATTACATAAAACGTGTCTATTTAAAATTAGTACACAACCCGTACGGTGCAAATAAATGATAATAATTTACAATATATTCATTTTAAAATAAGTTTTATTTTAAAATTTTTATTCAAAAATTCGATTTGAATATAACGTGCTTTTATAAAATAATTTATTTTGATAAATTTTATCGTATATTTAAAAATCTATGTGAATAATAAGTATAATAAAATTTATATTATTTCATTAATTTAAATAAATTTATTTTTGTATAAACAATACAAATAAAAAAATTTAAGTTGTTGAGTAATTTATTAAACTATAAAGAAGTGACTATTATACTTATATCCAAGTTAATATTGAACCCAGATTATGACTACACAATAAATCCCCTTATATATTTTATTATCTATATATTACTAATCTCAAAATTTTCTAGATTTGTTGTCGGTTACCTTGTCGTTCAAATTTATTAACTAATTCTATAGAATTAGTTTACAAATTTTAAATTTTATTAACAAATATTTGTTCAAATATCTTTATAATTTTCTAGAAGAATACATACCAATTTGCGGAATTACCATCAATATTTTATGGCATGTTATTATAGAAATATGATAAAATTTGAGAATAATATATCCTTGATTTTATAACAAATTAACCTAAATTCGACTTTCATACTCATACTAAATAAAATCCATACCACTTATTTTATTTAACAAAAATTCAAAACACTTTTGTCCATACAAAATGAAATTCATACCATTTAAATCCGTACATTTCTTACCAAAATAAAATCGTCATTCTTTTATTCATCGTAATACTCAACTATTATTTTATTTAAAAATTTATCTGTCAAATAATATGTATTAAGATAATTTTTTAAAATTTTCACCAAATTTTATTTTATGAAAATATTTTGATATTTCTAGCAATCTAAATTTTATACTCTTATAACTTACACAACACGGAATTTTATTTACACTACGTAGTATAAAAATTTCAAAATATTAATTTGTTAAAATTAAGCAAAACATTTATTCTTTTAAAAGAAAGCAAACAAATACTGTGATGGGATATCAACCAATTTAATGTGTAATATATCGTGTTTATCAATATAAATTTTATATTATCAAAATTCGTAATTATATAATTTTTTGTTAAATTTAGAATATATTTATATTTTAACTTCATAATAAATAATCCTAGATTTCTAACTTGTTTTTTTCTTTTCTTTTTTTTTTTAAATTGACATGCTTAAAACAATGAGTAAAAAAATCATGTTTTTTCTAAAAAAAAAATGATTAAAGTTTACGTTTACTTCATTTAAAAGTTAGTACGTGTAGGACAACTACATATTCATCTCATTTGTCACTTTCCTTGGCATGTTTTCAGCCCGTTGAGTTATCTTGGGCCCGATTACATTTTGGCTTTATCTTGATTTAGTGTATATTATAATTGCGGGAATATTATTGTATATTATTTCACCTCAATTGGCCAGATATTTATGTCCGTCCTTTTTATGAGTTTTAAGTGCCGAAAATGGCACTAAAATATCATATAAACTACCGAAATAAACCATGCCAACATAAATTTATAAATTTGTACAAATATAAGAAATGTTTTCTCCTAAAACTCGTCCCCGTCCTCTTCTTCTTCGGCGACCATGAACATTGAATGTCACCTTCTTCTCCTGTTAGAATTTAGACACTGCAAAACCTAATTGCTTAGTTAATTTTTAAGACAAAAATATTCCTTCATGGAACTCCAGGCATCGGCTGAGTATGCATGTCGGGATGATGAGGACGAAGAAATCGAAGCGAGCAGTTCTCCGTCAAGCCAGTATGCAGCGGCGGAGGGTTTTCGTGGATCTCCGATGGTCCAATAAGGGGGGGTCGAGGCTGGGAGGAGGTTTTTGGGTCGATAACTGTGATATATGACAGATTAAGTTAAATTTATGCTTATGAACATTATTTTGAACAGACTTAATCTAATTTTTTAATTATTGGTTATATAAAGTCCAATGATGTTACGTAAGAACACAACAAAAATATGACAATGATGTGGAGATATGAAAATAAAGTAAGGAGAACACAACGGAAACAGGACAGTAAGGTGGAAATACAAAAATAAAGAAACTAAACTGGTACGTAGATCAACTTAAATATCATTGTTTATGTTTTCATTTTTTTTCTTAATATGTGAAATATATAAAGAACACTAATCTGTTCATAAAACTTGTTGCTTCTTGTGCGTATTTATTTATGTACTTGCACATCTTTTTCTTATTGTCTCATGTATTCCGATTGGAGAGCTGATTATTAGTACTCAGAAAAGGCACCAATGAATATTCCACTGCAATTTGAAAATAAATAAAACAGACAGTTCTGAGCTACAACATTTAATATAGTGTTAATACCGTTAAATAGCCAAAAAAGTTTACAAAACACAAATTTTGGTCACCTTTTGTAAAAAATATCTTTTTTAGCCATTTTAGCATATAATTTTACTACATTACCCCCAACTCAAAATTCCATTTACACAATTTGGTTGGCCGAAAATCATTCAAAAATTCATTCAAAAAATTCTTCAAATTTTTGTTCAGCACCCCCGCTCCCGCTCCTCTGCACTACATCTTCACCAAAAATTCATCTCTTGCATCTCCACGAGAAAATCGAACACCTCACCAGCAACATCGAACGGAGTCCCTTGCCGTCACGCGACCTCGCCGTCACGCCGTCTTCAGGACCTCGCCGGACTCTTCAGGACCTCGCCGGAATTTGGTTTGAAATTGTTTTATTTTTTTGTTTGAATTAGGGATTTCTTACCTTTCTTAGAAGTCCCTTCATATGGTGATTTGCTAGCTGTTTGAGTGGTGTTTGTTTTTGGACTTGTGATTTGCTATTATCTNTATGGGTTTTGGAATAATGGATTGGTAATTTGGAATTTGAACTGTATATTTACCAATTCAAATGAATCCATAGATAATGTTAGTGGCAGGAAGCAGAAAGCATGCATCTTCTATTTGTTTCTGTAGTCAAATGCAATAACATTATAAGGATTTAAGGTGTTTTGCTGTTGTTCAAAGAGATTTGACAACCTTCGTCTGCAATGTGCATTCTTATTACACGGCATAACCTTGTTGTTATTCTGCTCTGGAAACGTTTGTTTTACTGTTTGGGGCATGTCGAACTATAACTTGATGTCTAAAAGTGCTATCTAGTATCAAATGACGGTAAGTTTGGAAAATTAATGCCTAAGATTGAATGGTGTTTTGTGGGTTTTGTATATGGTAATTTGCTAGCTGTTTGAATGGTGTTTGTTTTTGGACTTGTGATTTGCTATCTTACTTAAGTCCTTCCCTTTTTGTTTTTTTTTCATTTGGTGTTGCTTATTTTTTTGATAGATTGAACGTGTCATGCCTGTGGTTACTAACATTCATATCAACATATGTACCCTTTTTTCTTTTATGCATATTAAATTTCTCAAGTATTTGTCTTCTTAAAGGGACCTAAGCTGTTATTTGTTTTGTTTACAGTAAATGTCTTGGTTGTATCTATGTACAGCGAGAGTCAAAATCATCAGACTTCAAGGATGTTTCAGGTATTTTTGCTACATTGTTTAATATTTTAGCAGCTGCACTAATATACTGATTTTACCAAAGTAGGGGAGATGGATGTTAGAAATGGTTTGCCTTGTAGCTGAAAATTCGTTCTTGAGAAATGGAAGATAAATATAAAAGAAAATAAAATCGAGTTCTATATAATTGGATTTTTGTTCTTTCTTTCTTTTTTTATTTTCATGTTATGGATACCAAAACATATCTGGAACCATCATTAACAGAACCTTGAAAACCAAAACTATGTATTGTTATGTGCGCTATTCTTTTACCGGTTTGTGGCCTCGAAACCCTGTAATTATATATTGCATTAGTTTGAAAACAAGGAGAATTAAGGGATCACTTGGCAAGTATTATTTCATTTTTTTTTCCTACAATGTTAAGAATCTTGGCAGTCTATTTTGTGACCATTGATGTTTACAGGTGTTGTCAATGAAAGAATTCGAGAAGCTCATCAAGATAAGTATGCTCCAAAGATGATGCTTTTCCCAGGTGTTATTTTTGCTACTATTGTCAACTTCATTAATTGAACTGGCTGACTATCAGTCTACTTGTTAACTGTTTGAAGGGCAAAAACGATTATCCTTTCAAAAGACTTTATACAAATTGTTAATCGTACATTGATAGAACAGTTCACTTTTTTGTACTGTACATGAAAACTAATCGAACATCAGTAGCAAAACTAACACATGGAAAAGCATCATCTTTGGAGCAGAACTAATCGAACATCGTACATGAAAACTAATTAAACTGGCTGACTATCAGTCTACTTGTTAACTGTTTGAAGGGCAAAAACAATTATCCTCTCAAAAATTTTTATACAAATTGTTAATCGTACATTGATAGAACATTTCACTTTTTTGTACTGTACATGAAAACTAATCGAACATCAGTAGGCAAATCAGTTTACTTTATTGCTTATGCATTACTTAATTTTTGTTATGCCATGAATTTTTTTGACCGATAGATAGAAGTACTTTTCTACCCTTGGATGATCTCCTATTTTGTTCCTCTCAACAGAAGGTACAACCACCAATGGAGACTATCTTCTTCCATTCAAGAGTGGTGCATTTCTGTCAAAAGCTCCAGTTCTTCCTGTTATTTTAAGATATCCTTTTCATAGATTTAGTCCCGCATGGGACACCATATCCGTGGTCAGTTATGTTTGTGTCGGTATTTTAATTTTAACATTCGTTTTGTAAAAAAAAAAAAGGCCAATTACTTCTGTATGTTAATGTTTTTAGCTGATCTGGTGGTGAAAATAATTTCAGAATTTGTGAATCTGTTGAAAATAATTGAGGAACACTTCATGTTTGTATATCCAATTAAAATTTTGTCTACTTTTTAGCTGGCACTGACCTGAGATTGAGATGCAACTTCTTATGCATAAGTGGATATTTTAGGTACTGAGACACAACAATGGGAAGTTTGGTGTAGCTGGGATATGCAATGGTGGAGGAGGTGCATCTTCTCTTGTTCTTGAGCTCATCAAAGAGAGGTGAGATTCACAAGATGGAAAAAAGGAACATTTTTTTTTTAACATATGTTTTTATATATTTGTTTGCTAATTGCTCCTAATGCCCCCAATGATCACAAGGCATTCTTGTCACCCTCTTTATTCTTTTTTTTTTCCCTGTTGCTTTTGTGTGTGTTTGAATGAGTGAATGTGTTCATTGAGACAAGGCCTTATGTTTTATGCGTTGACATGCAGGCCTGTGGGGAGGGTCGCACGGTCAATGGTATGAGGTCATTAGGTTCATGTTTTACTGTTAACATAAAGTTGTCCGTCCAGTAACATTTGGAGATTTTTAATCAGCTTTTACTCGTTCACATTATCTCAAATCTCTCGAGAGCCGTTTTCCCTTGTGATAGAGTTTTTTGGTGCTGGAATGTACTGTATGTCCTTTTGTTGTGACGAGTCTTAGTATTCCGTTGTGATAGAGTTTTTTTGTGATGAAATGTACTGTTAAACATATCTATATTTTGCTTCTTTTATCTTTGTTGTGAGAGTTTTTTTGTGATGAAATGTACTGTAAACATATATATGTTTTGCTCCTTGTGTCTTTGTAAGGGAACCCGAGACGCGGCCTCCTTTCAGTTGCGATTTCTCCATACTTCTTCTTCCTTTGTACTCCCTCCTTATTTCTTCTTCCTTTGTACTCCTTCCGTTTTACAATATACTTGTACAATATTCGTGTACTACACGGGTACTTGTTAAAAAAAATTTATTTAAAATTAAATAATAATAATAATAATAATAATAATAATAATAATAATAATAATAATAATAATAATAATAATAAAAATAATAATAGTTCATCTCTGCTTGTCCATTTTTATAAACATTCTCATCCCAAAATTCGCTATGCACGATTCGAACTTTTTCACACATCTGTAAAACAAAGATGCAAAAGTATTTTACTGACAAACAATTCCCAAGAATTATTTGAAAATTAAGTAACCAATGTTCATAATAAAACAAATAAAATTTGAACCAGAAATGATTTTTGGAATTACAGAAATGGTTTATACGATTCGAAAACCGTTTTTGAGATGTATCTACTGTTTCTGAGATCTCATAAACCATGTTGGGGATTCAAAACAGATTTCTAGGACCAAAAATAACGTTTCTGGGACCAGAATTTGATTTCTGGTACCAGAAATATATTTCTTGAACTTCTGGTTTCTGGACCCAGAAATCGATTTCTAGATCTTCTAGTTTTTGGTCCCAAAAAATGATTTCTGGGCCTAGAAATAGATTTCTAGACCTTCTGGTTTCTGGCTCCATAAATCGATTTTTGGGTCCAAAAATCGATTTCTGGATCTTCTGGTTTCTGGGACCATAAATCGATTTCTGGGTCCAGAAATCGATTTTTGGATCTTCTGATTTCTGGGACCATAAATCGATTCTGGTCCTAGAAATTGATTTCTGAGTCCAGAAATACCAGAAATCAATTTCTGGTCCCAAAAATCTATTTCTAAGACCAGAAACCAGAAGATCCAGAAATCGATTTCTGGACCCAGAAATGATTTCTAAGACCAGAAATCAATTTCTGGTCTAGAAATCATTCAATGTTCCAAGAAATCACTCATGCCCACATAAATGACATAACTTTACACTAATATTTCCGAGATGTCGCAGTAATTTTACCGGAATGTTGTCGGAATTTTGAGAATATGGAGAGAATGACTTTTTTTTTTGTTAAGAGAATGTTTTTTTTATTGAGATGAGAGAATGAGTGAATGGAATATGAATGAGTGAATGAAACCGATGAGAGATTAGAGAGATATGATATTTTTGATTTTTTTAAAAAAAAAATAGATAGTAAGGGTATTTTAGACTTTTTAGGTGTCAAAATGGCTAAAAAAGATGTTTTTGCCAAAACATGGCTAAAATTTGTGTTTCACGAATCAAAATGGCCAAAAAAAAATTCACTGTTTAATATATCTAATAAGATATGTTTATAATTGTTTATTACACACATAAGACTAGTTTAATCATTTTTTTATTACAAACATAAAACCGAAAATAAAAATTGCATTAAAAAAAAGAATATATTATTTCTGAGATGGTTTGTTTAAGTAAAAACTTTTAAACAAAATTCTTTTATTAAATTCAAAGTTCTAATTTTTTTGTACTTAAATGAATATTTATTGATTGTCCTATAATACCTAATATATAATCCATAATAAAAGACTTGTTTTATTAGTTAGTGAATTATAATTTTATTTGTGTTCCATTTATTCCAATCATTAAAGAAAGAACAATCTTTAACTATTAAAATAAAATTTCTGTTCTTGCGCATAAGGCAATCATAAACAGACCGAGCATTACAAAATTTGAGGGAACACGTAAAAAAACACGGCTCACAAAGGTAAATTTCAAAACATGTATAAGACAAAGAGTCTATAAGCATACCTTCATCATGTATTTCCTGTGATTGCGGTTTCATGGTTTGTCCGCGCTTTAAATTGTTAAGTTCACTGATGAAGTCTCTGTCTCAATGCTGCATATTCCTTCAATTTCTTAAAGCTGCATATAAAAATTCACGTTTTGATCAAAAGCATGATGTTTCGAGATATTTAGTGCGACAGAAAATACGAAAAAACTTACTTCGTTGTGTAAACCGTACCTAATAAAATAAACACTTGACAACTATATATATTAAGATTGTAGATATGCATGGAGTAATCTGTTAAAATATTTAGCCGAAAATATGGTGGACTTACATATCTAAGAAGATTGTCTAGCCAAATTAACGGGGACTATATCTCTCTCTTTTTTTGAAAATTAAATAGAGTTAAATTGAATTTTATGTTGATATATATAAATTTTCCATAATTTAACCTATACGCGTTCTAGTGCATTAATGTTTATTAAGTTTAGGATCCTAGCAAATCGTAGATATAATTTTTTTTTTTGTTATATACTTTATTTTGCATAAAAAATATATAACTGTGAATATGACACATCAAAGATTTATAATTTATTACATGAAGAAAATTTATTTTACAAAATTGGTTTGAATTTTTATATCGCAATTTTTGTAGTCTTATGAACTTTGCAAAGAAAACAAAATTAGCAATAAAACATAAGTAACAAACGACCGAGTTAGTTACTTCCAGTAACCTTTGATGAATAAGAAAATAAGTAAAGCACAAGTTTATTTACATGTTTTTATTTGTTTAGTTTAAATTAATCGTGTAGTTAATTGTGGAATTTATTTTTGCACATTTGTTCAGATCATTCAAATGAGATACTTATTAATCGTGTAGTTAATTGTGGAATTTATTTTTTCACATTTATTCAGGCTCCGTTTGTTTTGAGGGATTTGAAATCTCTTGATTTCAAAATTTTTGAAATATAATTGTTTTTACTTGCACACTCCTTGAATAGATGTGTTGAAAATATTATAAATAAACTGTCTAGCTCGCACCAATGGTGTTGACTCGCGGTGGTGATGAACTTAAATGATCGCGGACGGCGTGTTCGTCAACGGTGATAAACAGTGAATTTCAAATGACTAGATTTTATAAGTCATTTCAAATCCTTCAAAATAATGACTAAAAAACATCTCGCATGAATTTGAAATCCTCCAACTTTCATTATCATGTCAACATGCATGAGCATTTGAACTTCTAAATTTGAAATCTATGAATTTCAAATCCCTCAATAAATCCCTCAAAACAAACGGAGCCCAGATCATTCAAATGAGATACTTGTGAATCTTCAAAAAGGAATACATGGAAGGAAATTTTGAAGATCAATAATTTTTTTTTTATTTATTTGTGTATTGATTTAATGTACTAAATAAAGTATGTAATATGGAAGATAATTATGGTGACCAAATTGTATACAATATTTCTACTCAAATTACATTGATTTTTTTAATTTGAATTTCAAATGATTGGCCGCTATTTTTCAAATTTTTTTTAGAAAAGTTTCTATAAAAGGTAAAAACGAATTATTTAGGCGGAATTTTAGTTGCTATTACAAGTAAATGCCAAGCCTTTTTATATTTATATAGATTTCTGATTCCAACCTCTTCTTTAATCTCTTTTTGATACGTGATTTGTGTTCAAAATGTTGCCATATCAGCTTTTCTTTATTTTTATTCATTTAAATAAATGAAAAATAAATAATAAATTTCCTGTACTTGAAAGAAAAAAAGAATTAGTGATCTGCATAGCTTTTCATAGTTTAATATGCATTTTAGTGTATACTTATAAGCTCGATATGAATAATTAAATATAAGATATTTTGAACTATAATAATATTTTCTGTGGAAGATCATAAAGAAACATTCATTATATGACTATGTTTGGTAAAACTAGCTGATAAGCTAGCTTATAACTTATTAGTAATTTTCGAGCTTATAGCGTATAGCTTATGACTTATAGCTGATAAGCTAGCTTATATGATAAATGTGTTTGGTAAAATTAGCTGATAAGCTAGCTGAAATAAAAATTTCAACGAACTTATTTGAAAAGCTACCAAAAGAAGCTTATCAAATAAGCTCGGGCTTTTTAAATAAGTCCGTCCTACCAAACGGAGCTTATTTAAATACAGGGAGCTTATAAGCTAATCAAATAAACTATAAGCTAGCTTATTGGTCTACCAAACATAGCCTATGCATATAGATAATTGTAATGCTAAATATTAGCTAACAAATGGAACATACAAAATAGAACTATACTTTTAATGTTTCTTTCTTAAACCCTGATGGTAACTATAGTGCTTGAGAAAATTGTAAGAGAGTACATTTGAATAACTAGTTAGAGGAACCAAGAAAATTATACAGAATAATGTAAGACATAATTTATTGAGAATATTGTTGCACAGCGAGGTTCAAATGTTCACACCAGCACAATGAAGAGTACAAGAGAATAATGATAGTGTTAATCAGAACCAGAGGCCAAAAAATACACTTCTGAGTCGAAGGCCATCATTCCCAAGCTCCCTTTGTTCTCTCAATATACTATGTGCAGAAGCCAAAACGGAGTTGCTAAATATTAGCTAAGAAATGAAACATACAAAAATAGAACTCTACTTTTTTTTTTTTTTTTTCAGTACAAAGGAGGCCGAAGGCCGATGCTAGAATTTGCTTGGGTATGACCCCAATGTTATCATGCTCAAGCCATGCTCCTAATCCTATAGGAGTTGAAGAAACTCGATGCAGCTTCTTTCTCAAACCTGATGGTAACTATATTGGTTGTGAAAATTGTAGAAAGTACATTTGAATTA